TGGCCTTGTGAATGTTGACCTGTTTAAAGGTCTTGCTCACATCGGCTACGGAGAGCGTGATCACACAGTTGTCCAGAACAGCTGGTGCTCTCATGCATGCTTAAGTGTTGCTTGCCTCGAAGCGAGCATAAAAGGCATTTAACTTGCGTCACTGGGCAGCTCGTGGCTGGGTTTCCCTTTGTAGTCCGTAATAGTTTGCAAGCCCTGCCACATCCGACGAGCGTCAGAGCCGGTGTAGTACGATTCAATCTTAGTCCTATATTGACGCTTTGCCTGTTTGATGGTTCATCTGAGGGCATAGCCGGATTTCTTATAAGCGTCCGGATTAGTGTCCCGCTCCTTGAAAGCGGCAGCTCTAGCCTTTAGCTCGGTGCGGATGTTGACTTTAATCCACTGTGGGGACGACGTCGTCGATGCACTTATTGATGAAGCCGTTGACTGAGGTGGTATACTCCTCACTGCCATTGGATGAATCCCGGAACATATTCCATTCTGTGCTAGCAAAACAGTCCTGTAGCGTAGCATCTGCGTCATCTGACCACTTCCGTATTGAGCGAGTCACTGGTACTTCCTGCTTTAGTTTTTGCTTATAAGCAGGAATCAGAACGATAGAATTATGGTCAGATTTGCCAATTGGAGGGCGAGGGAGAGCTTTGTATGTGTCTCTGCGTGTGGAGTAAAGGTGGTCTAGAGTTTTTTTTTTCCTCTGGTTGCACATTTGACATGCTGGTAGAAATTAGGTAAAACGGATTTAAGTTTGCCTGCATTAAAGTCCCCGGCCACTAGGAGCGCCACTTCTGGATGAGCATTTTCTTGTTTGCTTATGGCCTTATACAGCTCATTGACTGTGGTCTTAGTGCCAGCATCGGTTTGTGGTGGTAAATAGACAGCTATGAAAAATATAGATTAAAACTCTCTTGGTAGATAGCGTGGTCTACATCTTATCATGAGGTACTCTACCTCAGGCGAGCAATACCTCGAGACTTCCTTAATATTATACATTGCGCACCAGCTGTTATTGACAAATAGACACACACCCCCACCCCTCGTCTTACCAGACGTAGCTGTTCCATCCTGCCAATGCATGGAAAACCCAGCCAACTGTATATTATCCGTGTCGTCGTTCAGCCACAACTCGGTGAAACATCAGATATTACAGTTTTTAATGTCCCGTTGGTAGGATAGTTTCGAACGGAGATCATCCAGTTTATTCTCCAGTGATTGCACGTTGGCCAATAGAACGGATGGTAGAGGCGGGTTACCCACTCTCCGACGAATTCTCACAAGGCACCACGATCTCCGCCCTCTGTATTTCCGTATTTTCTTAATGCGAATGACAGGGATTTGAGCCTGGTCTCGGAGAAGCAGTATATATTTCGCGTCGGACTCATTAAATAAAAAATCTTTGTCCAGTTCGAGGTGAGTAATTGCTGTTCTGATATCCAGAAGCTCTTTTCGGTCATACGAGACGGTAGCAGCAACATTATGTACAAAATAAGTTACAAACAATGCGCAAAAACACACAAAATAGCACAGTTGGTTAGGAGCCCGTAAAACGGCAGCCATCCCCTCCAGCGCCATTGTCCACTTAAACAAATGTGGTTTCTACTGACAATTGAGATGTACAAACTATGGCATAAGGGGACGACGAGCGGATAAGAGGCAATCTGTAATTTCGATTAAGACATTAATGAGCGAGCTAGGACGGATGTAGTCAATATAACTATTTGTTCATTGTAGCCTATAGACCTATACACCTGGGAATGGTTACATCTGTGAAAGTTTCAAGAAGTGGAATTGTTTAGATTTTTTGTGTATCCAGACGAAGCAGGCGCTTTGAGTCACGTAGCTTGGGGCTCAACCTGTGGTGTGCTTTGCTCTCCAGAACAGGGCGCCGCTAAAAGGGGTGATCAGTGGGGTAGTGTTGAGTGTAGAGGTGGATCAAATGAAAAGGAATATTCCTAGTGTTTGTGATGCTCGCCGTTTGGCGAGACGTAGGACCGGTGGCAATGTCGAGACTGAGAATACCCTGTCTGTCTTGAGCTTAGACACAGAGTTTCTTCCTGATAAGGTCAGGTTAGGTTATATTAGCTATTCTGTGAGGTTGAGTGAGTGGTCTGGGAGCCCGCCAGTGAGTAGGCCTGAAGAGAGAGAGCCAGAGAGGATGATTTATTGCGTTTATAGCCATGGTGATCAACTGCACTGCACTGATGGAGTGGAAATCACAGAAGATAGATTTGGTAGTTGCAGCAGCAGAGAAATATTTGTGTGTGAGAGATTTTAGTGCAGAAGATCTAAAGGAAGTTTTGAGAGATGGTGTATAGGTGCAGGGCAGTGGAGGCTGCTGAGGGGAGGACGGCTCATAATAATGGCTGGAACGGCGCGAATGGGATGGTATCAGACACATGGAAACCATGTGTTTGATGTATTTGATACCATTCCACTAGTCCGCTCCAGCCATTACCACCAGCCCATTCTCCCCAATTAAGGTGCCACCAACCTCCTGTGGTGCAAGGTTAGATGGTGGTGCAATTCTCTCTTGATGACTGCTTTGCACACTCTTGGCATTCTCTCAACCAGCTTCACCTGGAATGCTTTTCCAACAGTCTTGAAGGAGTTCCCACATATGCTGCTTTTTCTTCACTCTGCTGTCCGACTCATCCCAAACCATCTCAATTTGGTTGAGGTCGGGGGATTGTGGAGGCCAGGTCATCTGATGCAGCACTCCATCACTCTCCTTATTTGTAAAATAGACCTTACACAGCCTGGAGGTGTGTTGGGTCATTGTCCAGTTGAAAAACAAATGATAGTCCCACTAAGCCCAAACCAGATGGGATGGCTTATCGCAGCAGAATGCTGTGGTAGCCATGCTGGTTAATTGTGCCTTGAATTCTAAATAAATCACAGACAGTGTCACCAGCAAAGCACCCCCACACCATAATACCTCCTCCTCCATGCTTTACGGTGGGAAATATACATGTGAAGATCATCCGTTCACCCACACCGTGTCTCACAAAGACACAACGGTTGGAACCAAAAATCTCAAATTTGGACTCATCAGACCAAAGGACACATTTCCACCGGTCTAATGTCCATTGCTCGTGTTTCTTGGCCCAAGCAAGTCTCTTCTTCTTATTGGTGTCCTTAAGTTGTGGTTTCTTTGTGGCAGTTTGACCATGAAGGCCTGATTCACACAGTATCCTCTGAACAGTTGATGTTGAGATGAGTCTGTTACTTGAACTCTGTGAAGTATTTATTTGGGCTGCAAGTTCTGAAGCTGGTAACTCTAATGAACTTATCCTCTGCAGCAGAGGTAACTCTGGGTCTTCCATTCCTGTGGCGGTACTCATGACAGCCAGTTTCATCATAGCGCTTGATGGTTTTTGCGAGTGCACTTGAAGAAACGTTCAAAGTTCTTGAAATGTTCCGTATTGACTGACCTTCATGTCGTAAAGTAATGATGGACTTTCGTTTCTCTTTGCTTATTTGAACTGTTCTTGCCATAATATGGACTTGGTATTTTACGAAATAGTGCTATCTTCTGTATACCCCCCCACCTTGTCACAAAACAACTGATTGGCTAAAACGCATGAAGAAGGAAAGTAATTGCACAAATTAACTTTTAAGAAGGCACACCTGTTAGATGAAATGCATTCCAGGTGACTACCTCATGAAGCTGGTTGAGAGAATGCCAAGAGTGTGCAAAGCTGTCATCAAGGCAAAGGGTGGCTATTTGAAGAATCTCAAATATAAAATATATTTTGAGTTGTTTAACACTTTTTTGGTTACTACATGATTCCATATGTGTTATTTCATAGTGTTAATGTCTTCACTATTATTCTACAATGTAGAAAATAGTAAAAATAAAGAAAAACCCTTGAATGAGTAGGTGTTCTAATACTTTTGACCGGTAGTGTATATATATTTATTATTTTCTGAGTGTAGTGTTAGACGGTAGGGTATTTGTCTATTTATGTTTTTTTCACGCAAAGTATAAGGGAGTTATTCTCCAGTCTAATAGGTGGCGGTAATGCAACATGAATTTGATGCCAACCGCCGTTAAACCTAATCGAAGAAGAACATCCTCCCGGAAGTGTGCATTTGGTAGGAAAATACATCTACGCGGGATTATTCAACGAAACATAGCTAATCGTCACAGAGTTTCTTATTTCTTTCCTCACTTTGGTTTAGCTAACCAAAACTGTAAGAAACTAACTACTGCTTATCGAGAACTGTCATCATGGCCAATTTGAATGAAGCAGATTTACCACCAAATCTGACTTGCCTCAAAGTAAGTGCTGGTTCAAAACAACTCCCACACCGACAAGCTAACGCTAGTTAGCTAGCTAACTATTTTCGCAAAATAGTCTAAACCCGAGTTTAACATATGTGTCAGCCAGTTAGCTAGCTAATTTACTTGCTTTTATTGTTTTGCCTTTTTAAACATGATGCATACAGCTAGCTAGTTAGCCCAGCAGTGTGTATAACAATAATGTCAATGTGTAGCTAGATGCTTTTAACAACGCGTTACTAAAAGCAGTTTGTTAATGTGATGCTCACCATGTAGCTATCATACTAATTTAGCCTACCTGACAGTATTCTTTCTGTATGCAGAATGTTGATACCATTCTCCGATGTCCCATTTGTTTCGAATTCCTGAGTATTGCAATGATGACCAGATGCTCTCACAACTGTAAGTTACACGGATATTGTCGTCACCAAACACAAACTATCCTTACCGTTAGGAGTAGGCTATAGAAGATGACAACACTTGTCTCATAACAACTGATTATGTGCATTTCTCATTACAGTCTGCTCTTTGTGCATAAGAAAATTTCTGTCCTACAAATTGCAATGTCCAGTATGCAATTCCGTAAGTATGATGCATGGTGGCACTGAATGCACTGCATCACGACAATAAAGCTATCTTTCAAATTGAATCTGTTTAGGTGGCTTGAACATGTCAAAATCAGACAAGCATGTCTTTTTCTCTATTTTAGGCTACAACAGAACAGGACCTAAGAAACAACCGGATACTGGATGACCTGGTCACAAACTTTAAATCTGCAAGGTACCTATTGTGTATTAAATACTTGCATGATATGCTGGTAGAAAAACAGAGAAATTGAGAAAAAATCCATAATGTATCTAGCCTATTTCTTGAAATATCTATTCAGGCAACATGTAGCTCAACTGAGCCCTGATAACTGTGCCTACCGATACCATAGATGAACTGCCAATTCATAATAGAGAAACCACAACACTTTGTATTTTGAAAAGGCCACGACGCTCAGTGTCTCAAGGTTGAAACAATGCCTGATACCATACGCCCAACTGCCAGGTTTCATTAGTTTCTTTCTCAGTAGAAAAGGACAATCTTTGCTTTAAATCTTTGTCTTTGAAAAGTGCATATTATTTTCAAAACATGTGTATTATGCACTGAGTGTACAAAACATTAAGAACACCTGCTCTTTCCAGGACATAGACTGAAAAAGTGTATTCGGAAAGTATTCAGACCCCTTGACCTTTTCCACATTTCGTTACGTTACAGCCGTATTCTAAAATTGATGAAATTGTTTTTCCCCCTTCATCAATCTACACACAATACCCCATAATGACAAAGCAAAAACAGGTTTTAGAAATTGTTGCAAATTTATATTAAAATACAATCGGAAATATCACATTTACATAAATATTCTAAATATACGTTTTGTTCCGATGTTTAGGGATGCAATTACAATTTGTCATGTTAGAAGGATTATACTGAGGATAAAGTGGAAGGAATGATAACACAGATCCCTTTCCCTCTGGAGGCCTCACCTTGCCTGCGATTTGTCAGCTCATTAATCTAAAGCCCACTGTTAATACCATTTCTCTAACACTTTGTGTAACAGTTGCATAGCGTTATGTCAATAAAATTACAACAAAAAAAAGCAAAAAACGTGGAATACTTTACTTTGGCCTTTAGGGTAATGTATTTCCCTTCCTATATGGATGTTGTGAATGTGACCATCAGTATGCCCTTTCCTCTGGGAACTGGGTGATTCATGCCTCCTCTAAAACCATGGCTCTGCATTCCTCCCCGTTATTCACAATGGAACTGGCCTGGACTCTGTGCGTCTGAATAGTAAATCAGGCAGGCAATCAAATCAAATTGTAATGTAGGCTTAGATCATCTCCAACCCATCCTCCTCCACCTGGGCTCAACCCATGCCAAAGCACACCTCGTGGGGGAAAATTATAAATCTACAGTGTCCTCCGTCTCCTCGCTCTTCACAAGAGGGCATAGGGGTACTTAATGTGTGTGTGTTAGGGGTTGGGCAATATTAGGATAGCATCGTCTATCGACGATGATTGACAGCTGTCATTGATGGTGACGATGTGACAGACGATGGTTTAGCCTATTTGAACTTGACTGCCGCCACGCAGTAAAGAACGGAGTCTCGCAGCGCACAGCAGGGCAGCACACGTGACATTCTGAGTAATTTGCCTAATTCAGTAAATATGTTATATTCAGAACGCAAGAGAGGGATGTAGGCCAGACAGAATGGAGAATTCCACCAAAGCAGCACAAAATGGGCAGTCAGAAAACATTGTTTTTCTCTCTCTCTCTGTCAGATGCATGGGCCTTAGGCTATAGCCTAAACCTATAAAACATGTTGTTTTTTTATAAAGGACACTAGCTGTTAAAAAAAAAACGACATGTGAACGAGAGGCTCGTAGAATATGAATGTCACGTGTGCTGAATGTCACGTGCGCTGTGAGACTCTGTTCTTTACTGCGCGGCGCCAGTCAAGTTCAAATAGGCTAAACCATCGTCTGTCACATCACGATGTCGTCACCATCAACGACAGCTGTCAATCATAGTCGATAGACGATGCTATCCTAATATTGCCCAACCCCTAACACACACACATTATGTACCCCTATGCCCTCTTGTGAAGAGCGAGGAGACGGAGGACACTGTAGATTTATAATTTTCTCCCACGAAGTGCTTTGGCATGGGTTGAGCCCAGGTGGAGGAGGATGGGAATATGATTCTACGAGCCTCTCGTTCACATGTCGTTCATCATAGTTGGGTTATTGGAGCTGTCATTTGTGACTGAGACTTGTAAACATGTGCTTTAAACAATGTAGGCCTACATTTTGTTGATTGCAAGGCATACAATTATACAAATAAGATTTTCTTGATACATTTTAAACGAGGTCTAGTTGTGGCTGCTACCGGACTAGATTGTGAACGATTCTTGGCGGAATACATTGCTTGACTGCCTTGACGGTGATAAGCACAGTCGTTGGCTAACTGCAGCCCTCCAAACGATTCGGTCTCTTCTCGAGTTGTGTCCATCATAACATTCAATAATCAATGAATTGCAGTCATTCTTGCACCATGTGATCAATTATCAGTTTTAAACATGTATTTTTCTTCTCTATGCTCATGATCTATTTTCCTGCACGCATATGACACAGTTGGTGGTCGGCGCACGTCTCTGGAGCCGCTGAGCTGAAGGAGTGTGTATTAATCTTGCTGTAGGACTCCTTGTGGCCAGCAATCGCAGGTCAAACGAACAACTAAAATGAACGAGTCACTCAGTAAAATGAATCATGACTCTCGAGACTCCCAAGTACTAAATCATGACTCTCATGACTCTCGAATCATGACTAATCAACTGCACATCACTACCTACGATTCCTATCATAAGCTTTAAGACAAGTTAAAGTAATGAACAGTATCTTATTTACCAAATATTCTAGCCTAAGAAGGTGTTGTCCTGAAGTTGCTGCTTTCAAAAATAACAAGAATGAAAGTCTATAGCCTAGGCTATTCTCAATCACAGCTTTATGTAGGTCCTCTGAAATCAGAGTGGAGTTAGGGGGTGAGGTGCTGACTACTAAAACCTCTGTTAGCAACCTGGGATGCGTCCTTGATGGAAGCTTGGGAGGTGTGAGCATGGCCACTAAAGTGCTAGTGAAGGTTAATGCAAGGACTAAGTTTTTGGTTAGAAAGTACAATCTGCTTGATAAGGACTCCATTAGAGTGCTAGCCACTGCCCTCATTCAATGCCATTTTGACTACGCTAGTACTTCCTGGTTTGGGGGCTTATCTATGCTTCTGAAGGGGAAGATCCAGATAGCCCAGAATAAGCTGATCAGGGTAGTATTGAAGGTGAGTCCACATACTCGCATAGGCAGGAGCTGCTTTCAGGAACTCAACTGGCTGCCTGTTTAGCGTTTCCCAGATTAGACTGGGTTTGGTTTACAGGAGTATGTATGGTTCTGCGCACATATCTAACTGATTACTTTCCCCATGTTAGGGACGCACACAATCACAGCACCAGATCAGGTGTCACTAATGTGTGCTTATACAGTGAGGGGAAAAAAGTATTTGATCCCCTGCTGATTTTGTATGTTTGCCCACTGACAAAGAAATGATCAGTCTATAATTTTAATGGTAGGTTTATTTGAACAGTGAGAGACAGCATAACAACAAAAAAATCCAGAAAAACGCATGTCAAAAATGTTATAAATTGATTTGCATTTTAATGAGGGAAATAAGTATTTGACCCCTCTGCAAAACATGACTTAGTACTTGGTGGCAAAAACCTTGTTGGCAATCACAGAGGTCAGACGTTTCTTGTAGTTGGCCACCAGGTTTGCACACATCTCAGGAGGGATTTTGTCAAAATTTTTATAAATTGATTTCCATTTTAATGAGGGAAATAAGTATTTGACCCCCTCTCAATCAGAATGATTTCTGGCTCCCAGGTGTATTTTATACAGGTAAAGAGCTGAGATTAGGAGTACACTCTTAAAGGGAGTGCTCCTAATCTCAGCTTGTTACCTGTATAAAAGACACCTGTCCACAGAAGCAATCAATCAATCAGATTCCAAACTCTCCACCATGGCCAAGACCAAAGAGCTCTCCAAGGATGTCAGGGACAAGATTGTAGACCTACACAAGGCTGGAATGGGCTACAAGACCATTGCCAAGCAGCTTGGTGAGAAGGTGACAACAGTTGGTGTGATTATTAGCAAATGGAAGAAACACAAAAGAACTGTCAATCTCCCTCGGCCTGGGGCTCCATGCAAGATCTCACCTCGTGGAGTTGCAATGATCATGAGAACGGTGAGGAATCAGCCCAGAACTACACGGGAGGATCTTGTCAATGATCTCAAGGCAGCTGGGACCATAGTCACCAAGAAAACAATTGGTAACACACTACGCCGTGAAGGACTGAAATCCTGCAGCGCCCGCAAGGTCCCCCTGCTCAAGAAAGCACATATATATGCCCGTCTGCAGTTTGCCAATGAACATCTGAATGATTCAGAGGAAAACTGGGTGAAAGTGTTGTGGTCAGATGAGACCAAAATGGAGCTCTTTGGCATCAACTCAACTCACTGTGTTTGGAGGAGGAGGAATGCTGCCTATGACCCCAAGAACACCATCCCCACCGTCAAACACGGAGGTGGAAACATTATGCTTTGGGGGTGTTTTTCTGCTAAGGGGACAGGACAACTTCGCCGCATCAAAGGGACGATGGACGGGGCCATGTACTGTCAAATCTTGGGTGAGAACCTCCTTCCCTCAGCCAGAGCATTGAAAATGGGTTGTGGATGGGTATTCCAGCATGACAAGACCCAAAACACACGGCCAAGGCAACAAAGGAGTGCCTCAAGAAGAAGCACATTAAGGACCTGGAGTGGCCTAGGCAGTCTCCAGACCTTATTCCCATAGACAATATGTGGAGGGAGCTGAAGGTTCGACTTGCCAAACGTCAGCCTCGAAACCTTAATGACTTGGAGAAGATCTGCAAAGAGGAGTGGGGCAAAATCCCTCCTGAGATGTGTGCAAACCTGATGGCCAACTACAAGAAACGTCTGACCTCTGTGATTGCCAACAGGGGTTTTGCCACCAAGTACTAAGTCATGTTTTGCAGAGGGGTTAAATACTTATTTCCCTCATTAAAATGCAAATCAATTAATAACATTTTTGACATGTGTTTTTCTGGATGTTTTTGTTGTTATTCTGTCTCTCACTGTTCAAATAAACCTACCATTAAAATTATAGACTGATCATTTCTTTGTCAATGGGCAAACGTGCAAAATCAGCAGGGGATCAAATACTTTTTTCCCTCACTGTACAGGTTCAGGAGTAATGCTGGGAAAGGTACTTTCTTGTATGCTGGAGCTTCAGAGTGGAATGTGTTGCCTCTGCCCATAAAAAATACGTCCTCTCGGAGCAGCTTTAAAAATACAGTAAAAAAAACTGTTTGTCTTCTGTGCTCATTTGAATGTACCTTACGATATAACTGCAATGATGAGATAGATGTTCTTCTTCTTTGTTTTTATGTTTTATTATCTCGCTGTCATACTGTTTGCAACCGTGTTGGATCTTGCCTAGCCATCTTGTCTCGAGGACCACAATGGAAATAAGTCTCAGACTTTATTGTGTGTTATCCTCCATGATTTTACTCATGTGCATGTATGGCTTTTCAAGTTTTCTGTGTGCTTGTTTTTTAAAATGGTCAAATTAATAAACTAAACTAAGTGATAGAACAAACAGCATTATTTTGAGGCAAATAAAGCAATTATTTTCCAGTTCTGAAGACGGTAGACAGGTTATACATCATTGGCTGATAGAAACAAACTCACTACGGTAAGAGCCCATTCCTCATCAGACTGTCACTCCTCCATCATCAAATCAAAGTTTATTGGTCATGTCCACAGATTTGCAGATGTTATCGCAGGTGCAGTGAAATGCTTGTGTTTCTAGCTCCAACAGTGCAGTTATACATAGCAAAAAAACGAAACAATACACACATAATCCAGAAAGAAAAAAAAGTTGTATAGAATTAGCCATGACTATAATACAATATATACTGTACAGTGTTCAATGACTATGTACATAGAGCAGCAGTCTCTACGGTTCAGGGCAGAGTATTGGGCGGAGGCAGGCTAGTGATGACTGTTTAACAGTCCGATGGCCTGGAGATTGAAGCTGTTTTCAGTCTCTCGGTCCCAGCTTTGATGCACCTGTACTGTCTCCGCCTTCGGGTTGAACAGGCCGTGGCTCGGATGGCTGAGGTCTTTGATCTTCTTGGCCTTCCTGCGACACCAGGTGCTGTAGATGTCCTGGAGGGCAGGCAGTGTGTAGGGAGGGGCATGACTAGGGCTATTACGGTGACCATATTACTCACCGCCACACCAGCGGTCACGAGTCATGACCACAGTCAAATTCCACATGACCGTTTAGTCACGGTAATTAGGTTTCTCCAAGCTCTGATGCTGCTGATGGTCATTAGTAGCCTACCAAACTTGCTAACTGCCTGGTACCCCGCACTCTATTGTCCCTCTAATCACTCTGACATCAATGCAAATGTGATCGAAAATATAATCAAACACTTAATGAAAGCCAATGAGCTCATGTTGCACGACATTTCTATAGGCTATGCAATTGCGTGAGAAAACAGAGTGATGGCCTCTATTAAAAAGAGGAGGATCCCATCAGCTTTCTATAGGCTAGGCCCAATATATTTATTTCTTAACTTTCCTAATATTAAGCACTTTTCTTTACAACAGGAGTATAGCCTACCTGGCTGGCAAGAAAAGGAACCACGGGAAAAGCGTCCTCCATTCGCTATTTAAATGCATAGATTAAGTGTTTTTTCCCCCTGCTCCTGTTTCGAGACAGGTGCATGATAATAGTCCATTCTAAATCAAAACAAATTTCACACATACAGTTGAAGTCGGAAGTTTACATGCTCTTAGGTTGGAGTCATTAAAACTTGTTTTTCAACCACTCCACAAATTTCTTGTTAACAAACTATAGTTTTGGCAAGTCGGTTAGGACATCTACTTTGTGCATGACACAAGTAATTTTTCCAACAATTGTTTACAGACAGATTATTTCAATTATAATTAACTGTATCACAATTCCAGTGGGTCAGAAGTTTACATACACTAAGTTGACTGTGCCTTTAAACAGTTTGGAAAATTCCAGAAAATGATGTCATGGCTTTAGAAGCTTCTGATAGGCTAATTGACATAATTTGAGTTAATTGGAGGTGTACCTGTGAATGTATTTCAAGGCCTACCTTCAAACTCAGTGCCTCTTTGCTTGACATCATGGGAAAATCAAAAGAAATCAGCCAAGACCTCAGGAAAATATGTGTAGACCTCCACAAGTCTGGTTCATCCTTGGGAGCAATTTCCAAACCTGAAAGGCCGCTCAGCAAGGAAGAAGCCACTGCTCCAAAACCGCCATAAAAAAGACAGACTACGGTTTGCAACTGCACATGGGGACAAAGATCGTACTTTTTGGAGAAATGTCCTCTGGTCTGATGAAACATATGTCCTCTGGTCTGATGAAACATGAAAAATAGAACTGTTTGGCCATAATGACCATTGTTGTGTTTGGAGGAAAAAGGGGGTTGCTTGCAAGCCGAAGAACACCATCCCAACCGTGAAGAACGGGGGTGGCAGCATCATGCTGTGGGGGTGCTTTGCTGCAGGAGGGACTGGTGCACTTCACAAAATAGATGGCATCATTAGGAAGGAAAATTATGTGGATATATTGAAGCAACATCTCAAGACATCAGTCAGGAAGTTAAAGCTTGGTCACAAATGGGTTTTCCAAATGGACATACTTCCAAAGTTGTGGCAAAATGGCTTAAGGACAACAAAGTCAAGGTATTGGAGTGGCCATCACAAAGCCCTGACCTCAATCCTATAGAACATTTGTGGGCAGAACTGAAAATGCATGTGCGAGCAAGTTGGCCTACAAACCTGACTCAGTTACACAGCTCTGTCAGGAGAAATGGGCCAAAATTCATCCAACTTATTGTGGGAAGCTTGTGGAAGGCTACCCAAAAATCTTTGACCCAAGTTAAACAATTTAAAGACAATGCTACCAAATACTAATTGAGTGTATGTAAACTTCTGACCCACTGGGAATGTGATGAAAGAAATAAAAGCTGAAATAAATAATTATCTCTACTATTATTCTGACATTTCACATTCTTCAAATAAAGTGGTGATCCTAACTGACCTAAGACAGGGAAATTTTACTAGGATTAAATGTCAGGAATTGTGAAAAACTGAGTTTAAATGTATTTGGCTAAGGTGTATGTAAACTTCCGACTTGTATATCTTTTTCGGATGGAAAAATGATTTCAGTGTTAACTTGAACAATCTAAAGTATGTAGAAGAGGTAATAGACCTACAGTGGGGAGAACAAGTATTTGATACACTGCCGATTTTGCAGGTTTTCCTACTTACAAAGCATGTAGAGGTCTGTAATTTTTATCATAGGTACACTTCAACTGTGAGAGACGGAATCTAAAACAAAAATCCAGAAAATCACATTGTATGATTTTTAAGTAATTAATTTGCATTTTATTGCATGACATAAGTATTTGATGACCTACCAACCAGTAAGAATTCCGGCTCTCACAGACCTGTTAGTTTTTCTTTAAGAAGCCCTCCTGTTCTCCACTCATTACCTGTATTAACTGCACCTGTTTGAACTCGTTACCTGTATAAAATACACCTGTCCACACACTCAATCAAAGACTCTAACCTATCCACAATGGCTAATACCAGAGAGCTGTGTAAGGACATCAGGGATAAAATTGTAGACCTGCACAAGGCTGGGATGGGCTACAGGACAATAGGCAAGCAGCTTGGTGAGAAGGCAACAACTGTTGGCGCAATAATTAGGGAATGGAAGAAGTTCAAGATGACGGTCAATCACCCTCAGTCTGGGGCTCCATGCAAGATCTCACCTCGTGGGGCATCAATGATCATAAGGAAGGTGAGGGATCAGCCCAGAACTACACGGCAGGACCTGGCCAATGACCTGAAGAGAGCTGGGACCACAGTCTCAAAGAAAACCATTAGTAACACACTACGCCGTCATGGATTAAAATCCTGCAGCGCACGCAAGGTCCCCCTGCTCAAGCCAGCGCATGTCCAGGCCCGTCTGAAGTTTGCCAATGACCATCTGGATGATCCAGAGGAGGAATGGGAGAAGGTCATGTGGTCTGATGAGACAAACATAGAGCTTTTTGGTCTAAACTCCACTCGCTGTGTTTGGAGGAAGAAGAAGGATGAGTACAACCTCAAGAACACCATCCCAACCGTGAAGCATGGAGGTGGAAACATCATTCTTTGGGGATGCTTTTCTGCAAAGGAGACATGACGACTGCACCGTATTGAGGGGAGGATGGATGGGGCCATGTATCGCGAGATCTTGGCCAACAACCTCCTTCCCTCAGTAAGAGCATTGAAGATGGGTCGTGGCTGGGTCTTCCAGCATGACAACGACCCGAAACACACAGCCAGGGCAACTAAGGAGTGGCTCTGTAAGAAGCATCTCAAGGTCCTGGAGTGCCTAGCCAGTCTCCAGACCTGAACCCAATAGAAAATCTTTGGAGGGAGCTGAAAGTCCGTATTGCCCAGCGACAGCCCCGAAACCTGAAGGATCTGGAGAAGGTCTGTATGGAGGAGTGGGCCAAAATCCCTGCTGCAGTGTGTGCAAACCTGGTCAAGACCTGCTAAATCGGCAGTGTATCAAATACTTGTTCTCCCCACTGTATATATTATAATCACTAGGCTAACACCAAAATAAAAGCTAGACAGTCCGGGAGAATTGAAAACAATTTAATTAAAACAATTAATTTAGTAGTATTGATTTTGTTATTATGTTTGAGCACAATATCACAGCATTAGCCATGGCAAAATGCATAGAATTGAAGGAAATGAGCTTTAAAACTGCAACGTTTTCTCTCACCTCCATGGCAAAATGTCTGGAATTGCAGAACATTTGCTAAAAATTGCATACACCGCCAAGATGGGGGCCTCTTAAATTTTCTCTAAACTTCAGACCTGCTGACCCGGCCCATTGCCCTGCCCCCTGCCACGCCCACCACCTAAGCCCATTTTCTTATCCAGAGAAGAACCTGTGATTTTAAATATTTTAATGTGCAACCTAACCCAGTGATTGTCATTGTTTTTTTTGTTCAGTAGAGATGAATTTGCCTGCATCTTTACTGTATGTGCACAAAAATCATAGGATCATTTATTCGGGGCTAATTCACCACCTGAGTAAATGGAAACTCTAAACACATATGCGAGATCGCTAACTCTAAGTATAATATCCACTGCTAGTAACATGTATTAATCTAACAGTAAATGTAATGGCCCAAAAGACGTTGCAGTTGTAGCATACCGCCCAATGAGGCCTATGCTATCACAATGGCCAATGCAAATTATCATTTTGCGCGCTCCCTATCTCAAATCCACATCAAATATCTTGGTTGTAAAATCGTTTCTATTGAGCACAAAATTGAGAGTTGAAAAATAAAAATTATACAGTGCATTCGAAAAAGTATTCAGACCCCTTTGGCTTTTTCCACATTTTGTTACGTTACAGCCTTATTCTAACATGGATTAAATTGTTTTTTCCCCTCATCAATCTACACACAATACCCCATAATGACAAAGCAAAAACAGGTTTGTAAATTTTTTGCTAATGTATTACAACTAAATAACGAAAATATCACATTTACATAAGTATTCAGACCCTTTACTCAGTACTTTGTTGAAGCACCTTTGGCAGCAATTACAGCCTCGCATCTTCTTGGGTAGGACGTTACAAGCTTGGCACACCTGTATTTGGGGAGTTTATCCCATTCTTCTCTGCAGATCCTTTCAAGCTCTGTCAGGTTGGATGGGGAGCGTCGCTACTTTCCGAATGCACTGTACATATAGAAAGCTGAGAACACCCTCTCTTCAACTGTGACAACATGATAGCTGTGTTTTGCCAGCAATTGGATTTTAAAATGTTATACAATCAGAATACCTTTTTTCTCCCGGAAGAAGAGTGTGGCTTGCTAGACACAGCAGCAGGCCCCAACAAAACATGTATCCTACAGGGGCAGGCAGACACTTTCATGAGGATAATGTTCTTTACTGTTTTACCAAATCATGGTTTTAGCCTCTTAAAAAATGTGACGTTTTGAGTGAAGTGACCATGTAGAATGTGCCTCTCGCATCGATGCGACCAATTAGAAATGTAACTCAAAGGGTCACAAAATGCGACTAAATGGTTGCAGTCTGGAGCCCTGCTATGCTTTCAACAACATTATTTCGTCATGATTCGTCCAGTTGTAGCATTCGATTTCGCTCTATAGCCCAACGGTCGTTTATTTTTTGGGGGGGAGGTTGGCAGATAGGGGTTGACACTATCGTAATGTTGTGCTCTTTGTATGGAGAGGCATTTCTACTATTGAATAGGGATGGGACTTTGCCAATTCTGACTTTGATCTGATATCTACCAAGTAATGTTGGGCTCAGTATCACTGAAATTGATATGGTAACCAATACTTTTTACACAACAATACTGCTACTGCTTTGGTTTTAAAGGGGTACATAATAAAACTAACATAATTAGAAAAAAAAGCTTTGCATTTGTGTGTCAATACTTAGCCTTATTGTCAGCCTCTATTAAACTATTGCATTAGCCTAGGCCTAAATATTGGAATTATTTCATGAAATGTAAGATACCATCCATTACAATAACACATTAGCACAGTTAGCAAGCAGTTATTTAACCACCATGACACAATCATGTCTAAAGGATGTAAACACCTTGACCTTCTTTGGTACCTTAAAGGCTCTGTTTCAACACTTCCCTACTTCTATTTATTCAGTCTTTGGTTTGATATGTTTGGTCTGTGCATGGTCTGTACGGCCAGTCTACTGCTGCTTATTGTTTATGTATGCTTTCCCCTGCTTCTGAAATGGGAACAGACAGACGTATCGTTCAATAAGGCTCTACTTTGTTTTGCACAGTAGTCTCTGGAGTGAAGCCATCTGTTCCTCAAAGCACAAGATGCCCTCCTGATACCCTGGCAGTTTTACCTAATGGTGGTACTGGTGCCACTAGATGTTTTTTTTTTTTACCGTGAGAGCATTTGAAGGAGCGAGCCCCCCCCACCTCTTCATTTAGTGCATTTCATTTAGACTGGATGTACATAATACTACATGTGTCTGGCTTTGTCAAAAAGGTCAAATAGGGGGTGCTTATATTTGTCCTGTTTCACACATGTACACGTGTGTAACCTGTACAGTGTGTATTGAAATGGAAATTCGTTTTTTGCATATCCCACTCCACCTGAGACACCCTCGGAGAGTGGGGTCACGACATGGGATCAGCCATTATTGACTGCGACCTGGGAGCAATTAGGGTTAAGTGCCTTGCTCAAGGCCAGATTGAAAGATTTTTTTACCTAGTTGGCTCTGGGATTTGAACTAGTTACTGGCCCAAGGCTCTAACCCTATTGTATTTAACTAAGGTGTACGGTACTGTGAGCAGTCCTAGTGGGGGATTTATGGCTTTTCCTGCACCACATAGTGTGTGCTGTGAGGTTGCTGGCTGCCCTGTGTGCAGGAGTGTGCTGTGACCTGCTCTAATGCTCAGAGCGAAGACAAATAAAAGGGTTTCAATATGGAAAGCAGAGCATTGCACACCTCATTGATTCCACTTTATGGCCCAGTAATGGCTCTGCAGCTACCAGGCACCAGCTGTATTTGTTTGCTCTCCACATTTCCAAGATTGTGGCCAACTGGCCCACTCTTTCTCGCTCGCAGGAAAGTGCAAGATAATTGGACATGTGCAGTTTCTGTCAAGGGGCTCACATTACTGTCAGCAGCATTCATTGGCAGATAACCCTCTCCTCTTTCCAATGGGCCCCAAAACCTCTCCTCAAGAAATCCTGCACCTCAATATATGCAACTGTTTTTTAAAAATGTTTGTTTCAGTGTGTGTGTGTGTGTGTGTGTGTGTGTGTGTGTGTGTGTGTAATTTTTGGTTGTACATATTTGTGTGAAATTGTGAATTAATTTTATCAGACTACTTGGAGCTGGAGGATTTGTCAGCTATGTCCTCTTGTTTCTCTGCTGTGACTGATTGACTGTATTTATTCACACTAAAGCTCTGATGTTCTTATCCCAGACAGCAGTTGTCAAAAGCTAATTTCGACTCGCCTCCAATATCCCCGAAGACCCCGGCCTTGTCTGTCAAGTGTAAAACACCCAGACAGACCAGGGGCACCAAGAAGGAGGCCTCAATCCTCAGTCACTTTTTCCGAAAGGGGCCCACCACCTCCACAACGTCTCTCACTACAGAGGCCCCGCCAGCACAGCAGCCTATTCCCTGCAGAAATAGACTGTCTGGCACTCAAACTGTGAAGGAGAGCCCTCGTCATACACAGACTGTGAAAGTAGACCCTGATCATCAGGTCTCTGTGAAGGAGGAGCCCATTGAGGACATACCGGCCAAGGTGCTGGTGTCTGTGAAGATGGAGAAGATTGACATCTCTGTGACAGGGCTGGCGCCCCTGGCTGATTCACAGTCCTCATCACAGAACCTGAAGCCTCTAGTTAAAGGTGAGGCCTGCCTGCTGACTGACTGTCTCCAGGAATTCTTCAGTGTGTGTGGTGTGTGGAGACACTAATTATATTTTCCACTGGAACATTTTGAATTTGAGAGACTTGGCTGCCAAAACATACAGTATTTCTAATGCATACAGTATGGGCCTATGCTTAAAATGGAAATGCCCTCCATAGGGAAAGCAATGTTGGTTGTACTGTTTTTCATATTACTAGTTGCATAGAATATTCTTGTCCTTTAAAGACATGCTCCGGACCTTTGGTGACTACTAAGTATTTCTTAAACCTCCCAGTTTGAGCTGGATGTGTAGTTCATACATGCATAATTTATGAGCAGAATTACTGTCTAACCTCAATTAGCCACAGTGACTGTTTTTCTGGAAGCTGTGCTGCACCATTTTTCTTACATTTTCCCCCATGTGGGACAGCCCCCTAGCAATTCGAGTTCTAGCCAATGAGCTTCAGCCCCTCACCATTTGAGTGACAGCTAGCAAGATACACACACACAGCAGAGCGAGAGAGCAATGACATGGTGCACATATCTGCACGTATGTGATGTAGTAACCAATTTTCGGGGACCACTTTTGGGTCGTGAGCACTACCTTCAGAACTACTGGCTAAAAAGCATACAAAAATACTGGATAATCCCTTAAAAATTATGGATGATTTCAATGCTACATGGAACTGTGGCCATTTCACAATGTGTCTCTCCTTTTCTATATGTGTGTTTGTCTATAAATCCTGTCTGTGTGTGTTTTGCAGTGGAGTGTCCTGTGTGTTCTGTGGGCATCCCTGAACAGTTCATCAACAAGCACCTGGACAGCTGTCTGACCCAGGGGGAAAAGAAGGAGAGCCTTAGGAGGTACCAGTGGACACACATCTCACAGGGGTTCGAGAGAGTTCACTTTTTTGATGGTTTCTACTTATTTTCGGCTTCCCTGAAACAACAACACTAATGACGTCCGAAGTAAGCTGAAACTTCAAAAAAGGGTCCCTTTAAATAATTCTCATAACATTTTATATTAACCTTGACGTAAAGCTAGCACTAGGCCAGGTATATGACTTATGTTTTGATATATTTTGACGTGTCTCTGTGTTGTATATTATGTTTAGATTTATGTTTGGGGAGATGTAATATCCCTTCCTCTGCTGAAATTACTGTCTACTCTACCTTCAAATTTGCAGTCAACCTGGAAATGGTTCTTTCTGCAAAAATCTAATGCAAAGTTCCACAGTATGATTAATGTAGGCCTGAGCCATTTTATTCTCCATCAGAAACAGGCGGAGTGTACATGACAGCACGGAACCCTTGATTCGTGACCTTGATGTCAAAGTGATGGATTACACAAGTTTCTATACTCATCAACACATTTGACCTGCCACACAGCTCTGAATAGGAGCTGGTGATGAGTTTTCAATGCTACTGTACAGGCATTGCATCTTGGTGATGAAAAGATGCCATGTGGGCAGAGCCTTGTCCTGTCCTGAATCTTCCTCATGGACTTTCTATCTGAAAAGCAGATATTTGAAAGTCTACTCTACATAATGCTTAGTAGGAGAGGGGAACAACAACAACAGAACTGAAACAGAATTACTTGGAAAGCCCAGTTAAAACCTCAATAGATGTATTAGCCTTACAGGGTGGTCAGCGCAGGGGTGGAAAACCCCAATTGTCAAACTTGAGTAAAAGTGAAAGTCACCCAGTAAAATCCTACTTGAGTAAAAGTCTAAAAGTATTTGGTTTTATCAAAGTATCAAAAGTAAATGTAATTGCAAAAATATACGTAAGTACCAAAAGTAAAACTAAATTATAACTAATTTCACATTCCTTATATTATGCCAACCTGACAGCACAATGTTATTTTTTTCTTTTATTTACGGATAGCCAGGGGCACTCCAACACTCAGACATTATTTACAAACTCAGCATTTGTGGTTAGGGTGTCCCCCAGATCAGAGGCAGTAGGGAATACCAGTGATGTTCTCTTGATAAGTGTGTGAGTTGGACCATTTTCCTGTCCTGCTAAGCATTTGAAATGTAACGTGTACTTTTGGGTGTCAGGGAAAAATGTATGGAGTAAAAAGTACATTGTTGTAGATCCAGGCTCTGTCGTAGCCGGCCGCGACCGGGAGACCCATGGGGTGGCGCACAATTGGCCCAGCGTCGTCCAGGGTAGGGGAGAGCATGGCCGGCAGGGATGTAGCTCAGTTGGTAGAGCATGGCGTTTGCAACGCCAGGGTTGTGGGTTCGATTCTCATGGGGGCCAGTATGAAAAATAAAAATAATGTATGCACTCACTAACTGTAAGTCGCTCTGGATAAGAGCGTCTGCTAAATGACTAAAATGTAAATGTAAAATGTTGTAGGAATGTAATGAAGTGAAAGTTGTCAAATAGAAATAGTAAAGTACAGATACCCCAAAAAACAACTTAAGTAGTACTTTAAAGTATTTTTACGTAAGTACTTTACACCACTGGGTCAGTGATAGTGAAGAGCTTTATACCATATGCTGCTGCCAAGACGCCTGGCTCCAAATATGTGTCTGTTCTTACAAGTGGTAGCCGAGTGACTCCGGCCTCTAATATCATTTCATTACAGAGACTCGCTCCCCCCTGCATATCAGGCCTTAGGTTAACCATGAAAAAGAAAAGGAGAGCTCAGATGCAATCATTTAATAACCAAGGTTTCGACAGACAAGCTGTCTTCATCAGGGTATAATGACAAACACTGCGGGTCACTAGTTTATATAGTTTGGAAGGTTAACAACGGACATCTCCATTAAATGAATGTTGTCTTCCTCTGTGGTGCCCTCCCTATGATGGACTCTTTTTGGGCCAGCCAGAGGTCTTGAGTGCTGCAATAACAACACTTCCTCACTGTAGTTCATCATGGAATGAATAATAGTCTAATGACCATGTTATAAGTTGTAAACTGATCTTCTCTATGGCTTCATATGTCACAGCTCCGTAGGTGCCAAGAGGAGGCCGATGGGGAAGCTGGTGTACACGCTGCTGTCCATGCAGGAGCTGAAGAGGAGGCTGAAGGAGTGCCACCTCTCTGCCCAGGGTACCAGAGACCAGCTGGTCAAGAGGCACCAGGATTTTGTACACTTCTACAATGCCCAGTGTGACGCCCTCGAACCAAAATCAGGTAAGAGCGCCATTTTCACTGTGAAAAATAATGAAGATGCCAGGGAGTCAACCTTGGCTCATGGTAAAAATCTTCTGACCACCATAAATGTAGTTTCCTCCATTCAAAGCCATCATTGTATAACTGTTAGAAAGCTTTAGACATTTCTGGACATTATTGACTCCAAGCTATCATTCACGATTGACATCCATTACAAGAAAAATTTGAAATCACACCTGCTAGTTCCAGTTTGTGCGTGCGTGTGTAGCGGAGGTAATTTACAGCAGCCCAGTGTGGTGTGTACAGAGCCAGACCCACTGACGGCTGTGTTTGGGGAGAGCACTGCAGGCCATGTCACGGCCCTGCCAAGTCCTCTCTGATGACCCAGAACCTGCCTCTGCATGGAACGGTCAGAGGTTCAGCAGAACAGAACAGAACAGAAGACACATCTCTGATGGGATGCAGTGTTTGAATGAAACACCAATGCCTGCTTTGAGCCTAGCACATGATTTGAGAGTCCACTGTTATCAAGACTTGAAATACTCGCTAGAGCTGAAATGATTTTAGCCATGCTTCTGTGATGTCTTGATGGTGTTTATTACAGTACTTGTACATGCTCTAAGAATGTCAGTGAGTGACCTTGATACATGATCATGCAAGGTGTATAATGACATGTCCTCCTAGCTCTTGGCCTGTACTACTATCCAGTCAGTAGTTGGGCATAACAGATCTCAGAGGATAAAGGCTGTTAACAACACTCTACTTTATATCTTTGAACTCGGAGGACAGGGCCTCCAATCCAACAGCACCTGCTCAGACTAATAGACATGAAATTCCCAGGAGACGTGTGTGTGCAAATCACCCAAAACTGTTTTAACACTTGATAGTTAATGTGCATCTCTGGGGATGCTTCATTTCCTCAGTAGTGGTCTCCGGTGCAGAGACCTTAATGTGGTAACAACAACAGTTTACATAAACAAGCCATGTCTGTGATCCGTAGGGTCATAAAGGTCTCTGTTCATCCTCTTTCAACAGCCAAAGACATTGCCAAAGAAGTGGAGGCCAATGAGAAGGCCAGGAACCAACTGCAGGGGAAAACCAAATGTGTACGTACCAAAACAGGATCAAAGCATCATTGACTAGCGCCACAGGACCACCGGATAGTTTCTGTTGTTCCCAACAGGACAGTATGTCCAATAAAAGGTGTTGTCCCTCGTAAACAACCTGGTCTAGTGTGTTCTTGAAGTGCAAATGATCACTCTACATGGTCTTTTTGTTGTCCAATTGTGTTGCAGGCCATGGTCTTCTCTAAGAACCAAAGTCTGGGGGAAATCGATGAGATGCATTCAACTTACAGTAAGTCATGTCTGACTGGTGCGCTTCCTCCATTGATCCGTTGTCAGTAGCTAGGTTTTTATCCAATTGGCAACAGATTTTAATGCTAATATTCTAAAATCTGCATAAAGAAAATATTCGCATTTTCCCACCAGTGGTGTGTTTCCACCAAACTGACTTGTTATGGATATAAATCAGTGCGTGATGACGTAGTGCACACAAAATGTACTTTTCCCCTTAAGTTTTCATGTACCAAATAAAACATCTAAAGTTCAATGTGTTTCCATCGCATTTTCAACTCTACCAATAGTTCTGTCACAAAAACTGTTGCGTTAAATAGCAAATGTGCCTGCTCTAGCCAACAGCATATAGTGTAGGTAGGCTAGTCTACATGATGAGATTATTATGGATAAGAGTGAGAATATTTTTATTTGTCAAACGGCAGTCAAGCATCGATCATCATGTCACCAGAATAAGACCCTCAATATTTATTGTAATAAGGCATCAAGATCACTGTTCACTTTCACCACCCTGTGAAGTTCATCATAAGTTATTTCATCTGTAGCCTAAGAAATTGGATGGTTTCCCGAGTCGTAGTGGGAGGATCACACTCCATATCATCGCGTAACTCCAAGTTTACTTCGATGTGATGGTTATTATATGAATATTTGCACATAAAAGTGTTTCCTCCATCATTTCTCGCATAATACATTTTACAGACACAAAAAGATCCCCTGCATGTCGAACAAACAAATGTATCTGTCAGCACTTATAAAATTGTACCGAAACGTCCTGTTTCCATCACAGATGTCGTGATTTCTTTTTATACAGAATGACTCGCATAAAAACTGTGGATGGAAACATGCTGTGTGAGTTCAGAATTGTTTTCTGACAGCCTTTTCACCATTGACTTTAGCGCTGTGTTTGGTATTTTATTTTCTCAATTGACTTTAGCACTGATGTGTATTGTTGTCTACAATGGATGTGTGTGATATTGACTAAGTTGACCGTGGATTCCTGTTTTGTCTCAGTGAATCTGAATGATTTCTCCTGGTGAGTCAGAGCTGACGTTACCCCAGTGAGGGGTTGGCATGGAAATAGTTTAGTTTAGCAGCATCACTGGGTTCTGAGTGTATTCTCACTCTGTTTGCATTAGCACTGGTGCAAAGTATTCATGAATTCATGCATAGTAAACCTCCCACATAAAAAAATACTACAGTTTACTATAGAATATTAAAGTACTTACTATGGAATTCTGTAGTATACTGTAGAATCCTATACTCCACACTAGTATCCCTCGATCATGTTGTGCTTACTTTAGAATTGTGTACCAACTGGAGAATACTATGCTACACACTAATATCCCTCTCGATCATGTAGTACTTACTATAGAATGTTGTAAGATACAGGAGAATTCTATACTAAACACTGTAGTATCCCTCGATTGTGGACTGATTACTATAGAATTTTGTTGTATACTGGAGAATACTATACTACAAACTGTAGTATCCCTCTCGATCGTATAGTGCGTACTATAGTGCGTACACTGAGTGGCGCAGTGGTCTAAGGCACTGCATCGCAGTGCTAACTGTGCTACTAGAGATCCTGGTTCGAATCCAGGCTCTGTCGCAGCCGGCCGCGACCGGGAGACTCATGGGCGGCGCACAATTGGCCCAGCGTCGGGGAGGGAATGGCCGGCAGGGATGTAGCTCAGTTGATAGAGCATGGCGTTTGCAACGCCAGGGTTGTGGGTTCGATTCCCACGGGGGGCCAGTATAAAAAAAAATATGTATTCACTAACTGTAAGTCGCTCTGGATAAGAGCGTCTGCTAAATGACGTAAAATGTAAATGTAAATGTAAATGTAATATACTGGAGAATTCTATATTACACACTGTAGTATCTCGATCATGTAGTGCTTACTATAGAATGTTGTAGTATACTGTAGTATACTATACTCCACACTGTAGTATCCCTTGCAGGGCATATAATTAACTTTTTGGTCCACCAGCCACTGTGGCAGGTAGATTTAAGAATGAAAAACGCATCCAGAAAAACGCATGTAAAAATTTTATTAATTGATTTGCATTTTAAATGAGGGAAATAAGTATTTGACCCCCTCTCAATCAGAAAGATTTCTGGCTCCCAGGTGTCTTTTATACAGGTAACGAGCTGAGATTAGGAGCACACTCTTAAAGGGAGTGCTCCTAATCTCAGCTTGTTACCTGTATAAAAGACACCTGTCCACAGAAGCAATCAACTCGCCGTGTTTGGAGGAGGAGGAATGCTGCCTATGACCCCAAGAACACCATCCCCACCGTCAATCATGGAGGTGGAAACATTATGCTTTGGGGGTGTTTTTCTGCTAAGGGGACAGGACAACTTCACCGCATCAAAGGGACGATGGATGGGGCCATGTACCGTCAAATCTTGGGTGAGAACCTCCTTCCCTCAGCATTGAAAATGGGTCGTGGATGGGTATTCCAGCATGACAATGACCCAAAACACACATTTACATTTTTTGTCATTTAGCAGATGCTCTTATCCAGAGCGACTTACAAATTGGTTCATTCACCTTATGATAGCCAGTGGGACAACCACTTTACAATACACTTTACTTTTTTTTGGGGGGGGGGGTAGACCATGGCACACGGCCAAAGCAACAAAGGAGTGGCTCAAGAAGAAGCACATTAAGGTCCTGGAGTGGCCTAGCCAGTCTCCAGACCTTAATCCCATAGAAAATCTGTGGAGGGAGCTGAAGGTTCGAGTTGCCAAACGTGGAGAAAATCTGCAAAGAGGAGTGGGACAAAATCCCTCCTGAGATGTGTGCAAACCTGGTGGCCAACTACAAGAAACATTTGACCTCTGTGATTGCCAACAAGGGTTTTGCCACCAAGTACTAAGTCATGTTTTGCAGAGGGGTCAAATACTTATTTCCCTCATTAAAATGCAAATCAATTTATAACATTTTTTACATGCGTTTTTCTGGATTTTTTTGTTGTTATTCTGTCTCTCACTGTTCAAATAAACCTACCATTAAAATTATAGACTGATCATTTCTTTGTCAGTGGGCAAACGTACAAAATCAGCAGGGGATCAAATACTTTTTTCCCTCACTGTAGCTTGTGAACAAAACAACGTAAATAGCCAAGAAACCCAACTTCAGTAGACTTTAGTTTCAAGTAAATTAGACCCAACTTTTATGCCTGTGCACAATGCTTCTAAAATGGAATCTTTCACTCAGCTCTTCACTTGCGCACAGCCCCCAGTCAGGCAGTGTTGCAGCGCCAGGTGGAATAGGCTGTATAGGATTCGTAGTTCTTTGACTTTGTGCGATTCATTTACCAGCTATGAAACAAAACGTTAGAAATACTTTGATAACAGCTACTGCAGCATTTATTTTACTATAAATGTGATCGTACTTGACTATTTGTATGAAATGCTCGCACTTTGGAGCCCTGACCACCGCCAACGTGGCTGGTGAAATTGACATCTTACCCGCCAATGCTAAAATCTACCTGCGGGTGTTAATTTTAGGCTCTGATCCCTTCATTGATTTCATTTGACTATTTAAAAAAACAATACAAGCACAAATGTGGAGACAATTCATTTAGACTTTTTTTTTTTTTAATAACAACAGAAGTTTAAAATGTATTTCCATTGTGGTCCTCATTCAAACATCAAACATGTTACACATTTACAGCTGACCCACATGAAAAAAAACTATAGTACACTATGGTCTAAATACTTTAGTATTACTATTTATATACTATAGTATTTGCTGCAGTGTTTTGCAGACTTTACTGTAATATTCACTATTGTTTTTGTGGACATGACTGTAGTATACTATAGTGATGGGAGAAAAATCGATAGTTACATATCGGGATATTCTTTTTGACAATATATCGTATCATTTGGACAATATCCCAATATTATTTTTGCGCTAGATGGCTGTACCTGTACCAAAACTCCAGTATTTTTCCTTCATAGATTGTTCTCCTTTTTAAATAGGGAGACTGATTAAAACTCGTTTTCTCATGGCTCTCTTGTCCCGCTGCAGCAGACATATGATGAGCAATTAATTTTTTTGGAACATCGAATCGTAATAAAATAAGTATCGAATAGCAAAACATATAGAATTGTGAGAATCGTAATAAATATTGTATCGGCACCTAAGAATCGTGATAATATTGTGAAATCCCTGGCAATTTCCGGCACTAGTACACGATATAGTATTCACTGTAGTGTTTTTTGCAGACGTGACTGTAGTATTTACTGTAGTGTTTTTGCATACATGACTTTAGTATATTGTAGTAACACCTGCTGAATAGGGTTAGTTAAAAAGGCACAACTACCAGACTACGGCAGTTACTGTTTAATGAGGGGAACACCTCAACCAGAACATAAAACACTGGTTCGCAACAGGCCACCTATTGAGTTGGGTCAACAGTTCTGAGCAATGCAATGGACCAGACAACACCTTAACAAAATATAAAATATTTATTACAATTGTAACATCTAAACGTTAGACACAGGTTCTATGCTCATTAAAGGAAATAGTACAGTGGCAGATATAAGAAATGTAAAAAATACAGTACCAGTCAAAAGTTTGGACACACCTACTCATTCAAGGGTTTTTCTTTATTTTTACTCTTTTCTACATTGTAGAATAATAGTGAAAACATAAAAACTATGAAATAACACATACGGAATAATGTAGTAACCAAAAAAGTGTTCAACAAATCAAAATATATTTTATATTTGAGATTCTTCAAAGTAGTCACCCTTTGCCCAGTAGCAGCAGGCAAATGTTAGCACGAAAGATACAGACTGAGAGACTAGGATTCCGTAATGATTTGCCTGTACATTTCATAATGTTGTGTTCTTCTAACAGGCCTACATGTTGTTTGGTCTGTTGTTTAAGACAGTCGCTAAGATGAAACTTGGCTGTTATTGTTTCAAACACTATTATTTGGGATGTAGCAGTCAGGCTAGGAAGCATGCTAACGAGATACAGTAACTCTGTGTTATAGAAGGTACTCGTGATAAATACAAAACATTTCAGTCAGGCCCTATCAGGAAACAACCCCTAGTTCCTGCTGCCTAGACACTTGTGGCGATTCAGAAGGATTGGATATACAGTGGGGAGAACAAGTATTTGATACACTGCCGATTTTGCAGGTTTTCCTACATACAAAGCATGTAGAGGTCTGTAATCTTTATCATAGGTACACTTCAACTGCGAGAGACGGAATCTAGACCTGCACAAGGCTGGGATGGGCTACAGGACAATAGGCAAGCAGCTTGGTGAGAAGGCAACAACTGTTGGCGCAATTATTAGAAAATGGAAGAAGTTCAAGACGACGGTCAATCACCCTCGGTCTGGGGCTCCATGCAAGATCTCACCTCATGGGGCATCAATGATCATGAGGAAGGTGAGGGATCAGCCCAGAACTACACGGCAGGACCTGGTCAATGACCTGAAGAGAGCTGAGACCACAGTCTCAAAGAAAACCATTAGTAACACACTACGCCGTCATGGATTAAAATCCTGCAGCGCACGCAAGGTCCCCCTGCTCAAGCCAGCGCATGTCCAGGCCCGTCTGAAGTTTGCCAATGACCATCTGGATGATCCAGAGGAGGAATGGGAGAAGGTCATGTGGTCTGATGAGACAGAAATAGAGCTTTTTGGTCTAAACTCCACTCGCCGTGTTTGGAGTAAGAAGAAGGATGAGTACAACCTCAAGAACACCATCCCAACCGTGAAGCATGGAGGTGGAAACATCATTCTTTGGGGATGCTTTTCTGCAAAGGGGACAGGACGACTGCACCGTATTTAGGGGAGGATGGATGGGGCCATGTATCGCGAGATCTTGGCCAACATTCTCCTTCCCTCAGTAAGAGCATTGAAGATGGGTCGTGGCTGGGTCTTCCAGCATGACAACGACCCGAAACACACAGCCAGGGCAACTAAGGAGTGGCTCCGTAAGAAGCATCTCAAGGTCCTGGACTGGCCTAGCCAGTCTCCAGACCTGAACCCAATAGAAAATCTTTGGAGGGAGCTGAAAGTCCGTATTGCCCAGCGACAGCCCCGAAACCTGAAGGATCTGGAGAAGTTCTGTATGGAGGATTGGGCCAAAATCCCAGCTGCAGTGTGTGCAAACCTGGTCAAGACCTACAGGAAACGTATGATCTCTGTAGTTGCAAACAAAGGTTTCTGTACCAAATATTAAGTTCTGCTTTTCTGATGTATCAAATACTTATGTCATGCAATAAAATGCAAATGAATTACTTAGAAATCATACAATGTGATTTTCTGGATTTTTGTTTTAGATTCCGTCTCTCACTGTTGAAGTGTACCTATGATAAAAATTACAGACCTCTACATGCTTTGTAAGTAGGAAAACCTGCAAAATCGGCAGTGTATCAAATACTTGTTCTCCCCACTGTAGGTATAAGCAAGATGGCAATAATGCAGTGAATTGGGAGCCTTGGGTTTTGCTAATAACTCCACCTTGCCCATTGATTGGCTGCTTTTACCTATCCCTTTTGGATCTACAGAAGTGTCTAGAGTTCAGGAACCACTAGGGATTGTTTCTGGATTGGCATAATCTCATGTACTGTATCTCTTGTAATCGAGGCATATTGGCTACACAAATGTTTTTATTTTTAAAGTGTTTGTCAAAGATTAGCTCAGATTGTGATAAATGCTCAACATTTTACCTCATTCCCTCAGCCAGTCTCCTCTCTTTGGGTCTTGCTGACAGGACCACCATCCTGTTAACAGGGCCTGACTTCACACCCTAGGAATACCAAGGGGCACTTAGATCCTCACATTCACATCACTCATTTATATTATTCATATTAGCCTTCAATAACCATTCACACAACCTTACCATTGTTCTTGGCTTGTGCCACCTCTGCTCACTCTCAGTGCAACTATGGACAGGGGTAACCCCACCAATCCCAAGTTGACAGTAGTGTGCTGTCTGGTAGAGCAGTGCAACTGTGAGGTTACACAAACTAGTCCTAGCAACACAGGAGCAGCGGCAGTGGGCCAGGATGAGCTTTGTGCTTGCTATATTCATCCTACTCTCAAACTGTGTGGCTTCTCGGATTTCCTCATTGACCTGTAACAAGTTGCCCTCACACTGATCTCTCCTGTCACAAGATCTTTGCTGGAAAACTGAGAAATACAAATAAAACAACTTATCCTTTTAGAAAAATTACTGAATATCAAAATCAAGGGGAACTGACACAACAACAAATGGGTAGTTTTAAACCCGCTAGATAGATAACTAAGAAAATGATGTAAAGTATAGCTAGTGAGATAAATTGCAAATGTTAGTCAAGCAGAGACAGAGCTTGCAGCTAGCTAGCTAGCTGTAAATACTCACCCTTGTAGTTGTTGATGTAACTCGACATGTACAGCTTAAATCCCTTTTCTTTTTTACTGTTTGAAGCAACAGCTGATCCTCTCACGATATTGGGAGCCACGTCAAACATGTCATTTCCTGGAGACAGTCCTCCTGCTACTGAGGAAGATGTACTCCGCTTTGAGTCAGTTAGTCTACAGGAAAAAGCAAGGCAGCAGTATGGGTCTTCAACAGATGCTGACAGGATGTCACACAGATAGTAGTTGGAACAGATAACAGGTCTTGAGCTCGTTTAGATGTAAATTACTGGTTTGATAATGATCAGTATTTGTCCATGCAACTGTCATTTTTTCATTACAGCTTAGACTCGAACTACAGCCAAAGAAAGTGCTTTGCCGCTCTGGGGCTGCATATGAAACAGATTTTTTTTGGCACAAACCTTTGATAGCAGGCATTGCACGCATTAGAGTTCGCTCTGTACATAGAATGTCCCTGTCTACGAAACAAACAAGTGATGGAAGTTAATTCAGTTAAACTATAATTTGCTTAATGTAGACTAATATGCAGAATGAATGTCAGAATTAAATATGCATGTCTTGATTTCAAACCCAACAAATAGCTATGAGCAGGGATTGTATTGACATCTAAATAGAGCAAAAGCTCTGGCCAAAACGAGATTAGTCACGGGCAAGTAAGTAATCAACCCATGGAATTGTGTGTATTCTCCTTGGCTTTCTGAATGCTGCTCTAACTGGGTGGTGTAATATACTGAAGTCTATTTTCATTCCTCCAAAGATATTCAAATATTACACGCAATCAGACCACAGTGACCTTCCAATAAAACTTGGGTTCTTTGACCTTCATTCAGTAGCCACACTCAAGACTCTTCAAGGTGGAAACCTGTCATAGCCACGTCAGAAACAGTCCTTAGAATAATAGTTTGATTCAGCCACTGGTCTTGTAGGCCTAATCTGAGTAAAAAGAAAAATGAGTGTCTTTTGTAATAAATATTTATACCTCGGAATCCAAAACACAATGATAGCCCTCTTCGTTCTTGCTTTGTAAAGTCCTGCTGATAAGCAAGCAATCGGGTACAATTTTTCAGTGTTCTGCCGCTGAATATCCCAGGTTGGTGAGCCTGGTGAATCTAATTTACTGTACAGTACATGTGCAAACAGAACAGTACTGCTGAGTCAGGGTTCGGGGAAAGGAGGCGGCGTGAAATGGAGGCCTAATTCGGACCATGCAGCGGCACATGCACGCACACTCCTCAATTCCATCCTGGAATGTTTGGTGCCGAAAGAATGGCCTAAGCAGCTGCAGTATCTATCCACTATGTTCTTCGATGGGAGAACTCTTATCTCTTGTCTGGTCTTGTCTTATGGGGATTTATTAGAGTTATTTTAGAGACTGGTTTACAGTACAATATGTTATATAGATCAGAATGAGATTTTATTTAAAGCAGATTCCAGGGGGTTAGGAATTAGGGCTAGGAATTGCCAAGGACCTCATGATACGATATTATCAAGATACTTAGGTGCCGATATGTATTGCGATTCTCACGGTCCTCACGATTCTATATGTATTGCAATTCAATACTGTGATGATCCAAAACTATTGCTCACCTTATGTATGCTGCAGAGAGCCATGAGAACTTATCAGTCATGGAAATAAAAGTGCTGAAAACAAATTGGCTACCTATTTAAAAAGAAGATGGAGAACAAGCTATGAAGGAAAAATACTGGAGTTTTGCTGCTGGTACAGCCAACTAGCACAAAAATAATATTGCGATATTGTCAAAATGATACATCGTCAAAAATAATATCCCGATATGTAACTGTATCGATTTTGTCCCCATCACTACTATCCATAGGATCTGCTTTAGTCAGATAGTCAGATCACAATAGATGAGTGGAGGTCAGCTGTGCTCTGGCTGAGAGAACACAATGTCCTGCAGAATACGGCTATAACAGGCATGGCAGAGGAAGGGAATCTCATGTTGAAATCACTTAACTACACAGGCGGTTGTAATGCAATTCTGTCCCGGTGCGTGTTCTCTGTGTGATCTGGACTACTTTGGGCCTAAGTTGTATTGACAGGACACGTATGGTATGAGGAGTTTAGTTTGCATAGGAATGAAACTGTCCTTTCAGTTAAATCTGGAACCAGGTATGAGGTCTGAGCAGAAATATGTTGTCCTTTTTGTTTCTCTCAGATCCATTGTTTCGCCATAACAGCCCTGAAATTGCGATTCCATACTCTTGGTTTTACATTCTCTGGAGTTTGTGCTCAGTTCTATTATTGTATTTTTTACCCCCCCACCATATTTTATGTTTTTGTTCTGCTGAACTGAACCCATCTGTTTTGGCCCTCTACTTGAATCCCTTCTGCAAACTTGATCCAATAGCTTTGTCTGCCTAAATCGGCCAGTGTTTTGATGAGTTTGTTTCTCCAGCAGGAACTTGTGATTTTATTTCAGTTATCATTAGGATCTGCTTTAGTCAGATAGTCAGATCACAATATATGAGTGGAGGTCAGCTGTGCTCTGGCTGAGAGAACACAATGTCCTGCAGAATACGGCTATAACAGGCATGGCAGAGGAAGGGAATCTCATGTTGAAATCACTTAACTACACAGGCGGTTGTAATGCAATTCTGTCCCGGTGCGTGTTCTCTGTGTGATCTGGACTACTTTGGGCCTAAGTTGTATTGACAGGACACGTATGGTATGAGGAGTTTAATTTGCATAGGAATGAAACACTGTCCTTTCAGTTAAATCTGGAACCAGGTATGAGGTCTGAGCAGAAATATGTTGTCCTTTTTTGTTTCTCTCAGATCCATTGTTTCGCCATAACAGCCCTGAAATTGCGATTCCATACTCTTGGTTTTACATTCTCTGGAGTTTGTGCTCAGTTCTATTATTGTATTTTTTACCCCCCCACCATATTTTATGTTTTTGTTCTGCTGAACTGAACCCATCTGTTTTGGCCCTCTACTTGAATCCCTTCTGCAAACTTGATCCAATAGCTTTGTCTGCCTAAATCGGCCAGTGTTTTGATGAGTTTGTTTCTCCAGCAGGAACTTGTGATTTGATTTGAGTTATCATTTGACCGAATCTGCGTAGGCTGATAAGCTCTCGGAGAGGCCTTTTTATGGAGCTCTCCCTCGTCAGTTGAAATGTCATATTAGTAAAACCCTGAGTGTCTTTGTCTTTTGCTATTCAAAACAAAAACCTCCCCCCAAACCTCCCATGACACACTGTCCTTCCCCATCACTGCAACTGGATATAGGGCTGTTCTCAACAATGTACACAGAGAGGGCCCCTAAATTCTAACTCCCACCAGGACTTGCATTAACATTGTCTCTCTTCCAGAGCACATGCCTCTAGTTATAATATACAGTGCATTCAGAAAGTATTCAGACCCATTTACTTTTTCCACATTTTGTTACGTTACAGCCTTATTCTAAAATGTATATGACTAGGGTGGCTGGAGTCTTTGACAATTTGTAGGGCCTTCCTCTGACACCGCCTGACACCGCCTGGTATAGAGGTCCTGGATGACAGGGAGCTTTTAGCTCAGTCTCTTTCTGATGCAAATGGCGGGAATTTGGGCCTTGTCGGGTGTGTGAAGAAAATCCTTTGCGTCTGACTCGTTAAACAAAAGATCTTTGTCCAGTACGAGGTGAGTAATCGCTGTCTTGATATCCAGAAGCTCTTTTAGGTCATAAGAGACGGTGGCAGAAACATTATGTACAAAATAAGATACAAATAATGCAAAATAACACACACAATAGCAAAATTGGTTAGGAGCCCGTAAAACTGCAGCCATCGCCTCCGGCGCCATATCATCTGTGTGTTTTTCTTTGAGTGTAAAAGGGAATCGAAATGCAGGTCTCCCGCTATGGAATGTTCAGAAACAGGATATGTCTGCCTGGGTGTGTGACTGAGTATGTGCATGTCTATACTCTTTGTGCCAGGCCTGGCTTCTCACCCCTCCTTCTCCTCTGTCTTGCAGGGAAGCTGCATAACAGTGAGTTCTCCTGCCTTATCGCCCAGGTCCGGGGTCGCCTGGAGACGGCGAAGAAGAGTGAGATGAAGCAGGAAGTGAGGGAACGAGGGAGGAGAGGAGGACCAGGGAGTGGGCTCCAGCTCTGCAGGTACCACCGTAACCCTTATTAGCATTCCGAGGGGATGAAACAGGAGGGTTAGCAC